AACAGGGTTTTGATTATCCCGAACATCTCGCCACCTAGACCAATGTACTCTAATTTGAATTCAACATAAAATGGATACAAATATTTGAATTGGAGATCGTATGTTACATGTAGTTTATAATGAAATATGATTACTGCTATATGCATGTTTTTTATCAAGATAATATTTAAATGATTGCATAACTTGACAACAATCGTATTCAAATAAGGAAAATTGATTCAAATTTAGTCCATATGGTAGACGACAATATATATGTTCATAGGGTGGAGTAAAATGATCATATATGATGGAAGATCAAAATATAGGACTACATCCATTATAAACGGCAAGGTCACCTAACAATATATTCGAATTCAACATAACGTGGATTCAAAAATTTGAATTCGAGATCCTGGCATTTGTAATCATATAAAAAGGGACATGCCTCTTTCTTTTGGTGGGAATTGATTTGTTTTTTGTTGTTGTTGAGGGAAGTGTGAATCGATTTAGTACTGAACAGGGTAATCTTGTTCTCCCAAATTTTTTTACATTTTTCTTATAGTTTTTTCAATGACATTTATAGCAATACAGTAAAAGGGGACATGACTCTCTTGTGTCTTGTATGACTTGTTTTTTTGTAAATGTTAAGTTTGTTCTACCGAACAAGGAATCCGCGCCTTGTTATCCTAAAAAATTAAGCTCGAGTATCTTTTGTCTCATCTGCTTGGAAACTCCCGCCTCTTCAACCCGCGCGCGCCTTGTTATCCCAAAATTTCGATGCACGCAAAAACTCCCTCCTCATCCGAAATCGGTCCCGCAGCCCAGACACACGAAGTCCCCCTTCTACCCCTTAGCCGAAAATGCCGGCTCGACGTCGTGGTGTCAAAACCGATGGGGGTACGCTGGTAACTTACCCTACATTTCGGACAAGCGCGTCCCTAAGCCATGGCTCCCCCTACCTTCCCCTTCGAACGTTGCAGAAACCACAAGAAGAAAAAACAACCCTAGAGCTAGATTAAGCAATGCCTGCGGGTGGCAGAGTGCCCGTGAACGCCAGGTCGCGCTGATTGATTGCGTCTAGGGCTAGAGCCGCCACCTCGCGATGCGTCAACCTTAGTCCCGTGAACACCCGCCTATTACGCTCCTTCCAAATGGACCATATCGTGTAGATGATTCTTCCACTGCGCCTCTTGCGCACTTGATTGGGCTGTGAAATGAGAGTTTTGTCCCACCAGTCGGACGCATTTCCTGGCCCGGGGAGGAAGCCCGAGATAGGAATGCCTTCGTTAGTCCAGGTGTTCACCTGGTTCCAGACCGCAACCGTGAAGGGGCAATCTTTGCAGAGCTGGATTGCTGTTTCAGGCTGTTGGAGACAAAGCAGGCATCTGGGATCATGAGGCCAACCCCTCACAGCCAGCATATCCGCAGTGAGGATCCTTCCATGTAGAGCAAGCCAAGCAAAGAACTTGCACTTGGGCTCAGCGTTTGCAGACCAGACCTTGGTTGTGTCGAAACGAGGGTAGGAGCCAAGGAACTGCGCGCCGTAGCCAGAGGCGGCTGAGTATGTCCCCGAGGTGGTTAAGTTCCAGTGGATGGTGTCGTCTTGGTCAGGGAGGAGGGTGATTTGACTAATGAGACTCGAGAGAGACACGAATTCACCCAGCTGCTGAATGGACTGCAGCCTAGCCACCGCCCTGATCCAATTCTCATTCATGAGCTCGTTTTGCACCGATCTGTTCTTTCTTGAGGCAATCTTGTAGAGCTGTGGAGCAAGAAGCTTGAGTGGACCGTCACCTGTCTAGTTGTCATGCCAGAATAGTGCCTTCTGCCCATTGCCCAGCGTAATCGAGGTACATGCGCGGAAAAGGCTCATATTTGATACGTCACACGGCAGCTCCGATCCCACCCATGGCCTTTCTGGGTCAGTCCATAGCAGCCAAGGCCACCAGAGGCGCAGGGCGCGGCTAAATCTCTCCAGGTCCATGATCCCAAGGCCGCCCAGATGCTTTGGACGGCAAACGGTCTTCCAGTTAACAAGGAAGTGGCCTCCCGAAGTCTGAGCTTGGTCCTCTTTTTGCCAGATGAAGGCCCGAATGATTTTGTCGATCTTTCTAAGCGTCCCCTTTGACAGGTTGAGAGTTGTGATGTGGAAGGTGGTCATGGCCGTGAGGACCGACTGAGCGACTGCCACCCTGCCAGGCTTGTTGAGAAGCTTTCCTTTCCATCCTGGTAGTCTGCCTGCGAACCTATCGATGAAGGGCTGCAGATCAACCCCTTTAAGGCGGCGAAAATGCAGGGGTAGCCCTAAGTAGCGTCCCGGGAAGGAGGCGATCTTGGCAGGGAAGGCTGATAGCACATCTTGGAGGTCAATGCCGGCACATCTGATCGGGAAGACCTTGATTTTGCTCAAGTTTGTGATCAGTCCGGTAGCCTCCCCGAAGGTCTTCAGTATTGCAGAAATAGCGTGGAGCTCATCCTTGTCTGGGTTCGCGAAGATGCCCGCATCGTCAGCATAAAGGAAGATCCTACATCTAGCCGTCCTTGCACAAATGGGTTTGAGGATGCCGCGTCGGGAGGCGAGATGTAGGATCTGTTGGAGAGGGTCAATGGCGAGGATGAAGAGCATCGGAGATACCGGATCGCCCTGACGGAGGCCCTTTGCATGTCTGAACGTCTTGCCGGGGTTTCCGTTAAGCAGAATCTTTGAAGCAGTGGCATTTCTACAAATGTGTGCAGCACCTTTGCCGTGTCACCCTGATTCTCTCACCGATTTGGAAACTCGATATGGTGGCGCCTGCCGTGCTGCACAGCACATGCTGCATAGACGACACATGAAGCAGTCGTGAAGTAGCGAAAATGCATAGGAGCTCTTGGGTGCTACGCCCCCTTATATTTAAAAATAATTTAGTATTCAAAAAAAGTCAAAAAATTCCGGAACTTTTTATGGAATCAAACATGACCAAGTATTGCACTCGTATAAAAAGATTAAACATGGAATGACTTTTATTGTATCCGGGGTTAAAGATATCCGAAAAAATACTAGATACAAGTACTATTCATGCTATATTGTCATCATAAATTTGTCTTTTTTCCCTGAAGTCAACGAGAATCATTCCTTGGCCAAACTTTTTATATGAGTACAATACCTAGTCATATTTGGTTCAAAAATATATCCATAATTTTTTTGACTTTTTCTAAATTATTAATTTATTTTTGAATATAGGGGTGTGTAGCACCCGAGTGCTCCTAATCCGCTTCCCGTGAAGTAGTTTCTATTGAGCTTAGCACTTGACATTTTTGTCTTGGAAGCACATTAAAATTTAGAGTTTAGTCTGAAGTTTGCATTAACCCTGTGCATTCGGTTTATATGCTATTAATACTTTGATAAATATGGTATGAAATTAAGATACAGTTCAATTTTGATATATACCAAGTTATCTCGGTATGATTTTGGTATATACCACATTAATTAAAGCCGATGCGAATTTAAAAATGACATAATAAATAATTTACAAATTTATGACTCAAAGCACATACTTTATTTATACAACAATATAAAACTATATATAAGTATCTATGCATGCATGGATGCATGCCTATATGGACGTGGAAAAAAGCAACTATGTTACAAGAAAAAAATGTACGTACTTAGCGGGGAATCTGTCTCCCATAAAAAATTGATTCTTTGTATGGTTGTTCGCTTCAAGAAAAATAAATATATTTTTACTTCGGCTATCCGTTTGGTTTTTGGTATATTTCATAAAAACCAAAATTTATAATGTCATGAAAAGTTCATACCATGCTGAAACCAGAAAACATAAAAACCTTAAAATTGGTTCGGTTCGGTCTTAAAATGCACAGAGTGAGTTCGCATACAAGAAGCCAACAAACTTTATCCATTGGAATTTAACAAACCTTGAAAGCAGATTTTTTATTTTTGAAAGGTTGCAAACGATCTGCCAAACTGATTACCCAAAGAGAACAAAAGGAAATACAAGCACGAGAGCCCTTGTCGTCGATTGGGTAGGTTTTGGTGCAAGACTCGGAGGTGAAGGAGTCACGTGACCTATGACTGACACACTAGAGTGCAAACTTATGACTAACACATTTTTATTTAGTACTCCCTCTGTCCTATAATAAACGTTTTTTACACTACACTAATGTCAAAAATATTTTTATATTATGGGACGGAGGGAGTAGGTGCCAAATGTTCAAGATAGTTTTCACATGACCTAAAAGTAAAGTGAAAAAATAATACCACAACTAGTCATAAAGATGATTACATGAGCCAATCACATAACCTATGACTGACACACCAGCCAAACAATTCTGAATCGTAACTAAAGAGTGACAAAATTTGGCTTGATTTTGGCAAATCTTGTCAAAGTTAATCATTATCGTTAGTGTCACATTACAAAGTGTTGACACCTGGACAGATTTCCATGTACCAAAGAGGATCACCCTCATCCTATTATTATTTCTTATTTCTTAAAAGCTCTGCCGCCTTTGCATTAAGGAGAGAAATCAATCCTTATAAAACTCGATTGGCATGATAGGCTTTTGCTATCCTTAAAAACAAAAAAAAGTCATTAAAAATTATAAATCATCCAACGGAAAAACAGAACAATCAAAGATATAGGAGTGTGGTTCTCTAGGAAAAAAGGGGATTTTTTTGTGAATAAAAAAGGGTTTGTCTAACCACTGTGTTTTCGAGAGAGAAATATTCTTTTTTTAGAAGACGACAAAGAATGTTTTGTAGACAAGACAGAGAAATATTCTTTTTTTTAGAAAGAGACAGAGAAATACTCGAAACAGCCAATGAGACCTGACCACGACCTGAAATCGGACCCGCACGGCCCCTACGGGCTACGGCCCTTATATATACTGACAGCCCAAATCCACCGTCTCCAAACCACCCACGCCGACCCGAGTCCACCAAATTCCACAGCGACCCCTCAAAAGAAAATCCACAGCGATCGGGGACGAGCAGCGCCGTACGCACGGAATCGCCGCCGCGTCGCATGGCCAACCACGGCGACCTCTCCCCGCCGGCCGACGGCGGCTCCCAGGAGGTTCGCGCATCCCGCCGATCCCGCATAGTATATGATCTCTGTCGATTAGTTAGGGTTCCACTTCCACTCCCAGGGATTTCGCCACGGGAGAAAGAAAAAAACTTTCTGCATCCGCTCGCTTAATAATTTGTCAAACTCTTAATATTATGATCTTATTTTATTAGCATACTAATATATTCTCCCTGTCTAATTTGTATGGACCAGCTGATTCCAGTCATCTACCAGTCACCATACAGCATGACACCACAGGTACATATGGCTTGTTTGATTGTTTCCCTATTTATTTAGGTTATTTGTTCGTCCTATTTATTTAGGTTAACGGCTGTTTCACCCCGCAAAACTGATAAACAATTAACGACATTCTGTGTGCAGGGTCCTCCATGTTCATGGCTTTTTTACTATAGGCCAGTTCCTCTCGGAGGTTTTCGGGTAATTAGTATTGACTCATTTGGTCTCCTTTTGTGCCTTCACGCTGGGCTATAAATTGTTAACTAAAATCAGTTTCTGACTCTGGCTGATTAAGCAGAGGCCCGTGTACGAAGATGGGACGACAAGGGTGCTATGCTTGAGCCAAATGTTTTCTCCAGACCAGCTAGAAGACGACGAGTACTACCAAAAGTTTTGCCGGAGGATGACGGCGGAAGGACAGAGATCCGGCGGTAAACTCAGGAGGACCGTCGTCCCACGGCCGGACCCCAGCGGCGCTCCGGTCGCCGGAGTTGGCAAGGTACTTGCGTACATGTGTCCTCCTGGTTTTATTTGGTGTGATGAGATGAGACATAGCGAAGAGGGGAATTAATCAACATTTTTGTTGCATTGTAGGTGTTTCTGGAATACGCCGATATCGACAGCGCAGCATATTCCAAGACGATGTTGCATTGGATGTGGTTTGAGGGGAGGCAGGTGTTTGCTGTGTTCTATCCCGAGGACAAGTTTGCTGCTGGGGACTATGATGGATAAAATGGAAATCTTACTTATCTTTATTGTAAGAATTATGTGTCTCAAAGCATACTTACGCATAATATGTTTAAAGATCTGATTGATCATTAGTGGAATACAATAATATGTAGTATGTTGGAAAGACAGTAATGTTGCACGTACGAATAAGTTACTGGGTTTTACAAAGAGGATTTATTTACCAGCTTGTGATTGGTTAATAGGTGAGGGTGCCGGTCCACCCCCCGGGGAAACTGTAAAATCCCCCTTTTTGCGGGGTGTAAAAATCCCGTATTTGTCCGTACGGTTAGCATTTTTGTTCGAATGTTTACCCACACTGGTAATTGATAGAAGTTCAATCGTATAGTTAGATGGCAATCCTAATGTTGATCTATAGAATTAATAGAATTTGCACTATATTATGATTGTGTTGCTCACAACCGCATGTATCAGGGACTCAAATGTGTAGAATCCATTAGAATGTCCTAAGCAGGGCCCTTTTCCAGAAATTCAAGGCGGGATGGAAATAAAAAAAAAGGCCCAAAAAATTAAAAAAGAAAAATACCCAAGCCTCTATATCCGGGAGCTTTTCGCTCCAAGATTCACCCACTTGGGTGAAAGTGACTCTTGGGTAGGTTTGAATCTGGCACGTGTATTATTTTGGTACGTGGATGTGTAGAAATGAGTGGTGTGTCTAGGTTTTCATTTCAAATTTTTTGAACATGTGTGCAGCTTGGTTTGGTTCATTTAGTATTTTCTGTTTTGTGTGGGTCAAGTTCATCTCCTGGCAGATTTTTTGCTTCTTTGTACGAAATATGGATGGCTGCCGCTTTGGTGGGCTTCTCCAGAATTCCCCTCGCTGGATGTTTCCAGTCTTTTTTTCTTTCTTTTCTGAGTTAATTGCACAGAAGTACCACAATTCGGGCATCACATGCAGATTGGTACCACGATTGCTAATTTTTGCGTGTCAGTACCAACATTGCTTAAGATTTTTGCAAATAGGTCTAAACTGCGTATAAACACGTATTGACGGTGTATCTGACCAGCGGGGCCCGCCCGTCAGGTGCCAACGTGGCATGTTTTTTGCAGAAAACCCCCTTACGTTGTATGTAATCACAAAAATACCCAAATTTTTTGCGGAAAAAAGGCTCCATGAGAGAGGCTTTCTTTTTTTTCGTAATTTCCATCAACGAATCTGGACCGGTTTGAAATTTTCCGTCACTTGAAGAAATAAAGAAACGAAAAGAAAAATCTGGCGACGGCGGGAATAGATCCTGCGACCTGTGGCCCTCAAGCGCCACGTGCTAACCACCACGCCACAGCGGTGCTCGCGTTCGATACAAGGCGTCCGCTTTTTTATACTATTACCGAAGCGCTGGGCCGAGGCCTGCATTTTTTTTTTCGCACTTAACTGGCGCGCGTGTTCGAGGTAATGCCCACCGAAGTGAAAAATATTACAGGTACATTCATCACTCCAACTACAAAATTAACATGTCATTCTTACATTTTTCTTTTTTGCGGGTGAACATGTCATTCTTACATGATGTTAGAAAATATACATATGCGCCTACACATAATAATAAACAATAAGAACCACTAAATTTGTATTTCAAGAATAAATTGAAATAGAAACATGATAAAACTATAAAAAAAATTATACAAGATTTAGATTGAATGTGACTCATCATAATAGAAATATATTCAATGAGAAAAACAAACATACCTAAGAGAAAACTATATTTACAAAAATACTTATATTTATAAACATCATCAGATTTGGTTCCAATTTTTGTTTACACAAATTAAATAAGATGTTTTCTGTATTAAACATTCTAAAGTTCCAGCCCGCGCATCGAGCGGGCCACGTTGCTAGTTTCAAAAAAAGTTCATCGATTCAAAAAATGTTCACGCGTTCAAGAAATGTTCACCAAAAATAAAAACATGTTCATGAATTCCGAAAATTGTCACCAAATCTCAAATGATGATATTTTAATTCCAAAAATGTTCATGGTTTCAGAAAATGTTCACTAATTTTTAAAAAGGACCATGATTTCAAATAATGTTTATTATTTTGATTTTTTTCATTATTCAGAAAATGTGCATGAATTTGAAAGATGTTTCCATAAATGGAAAAGAAAGAAGATAAAGAAAAATAAATAATGAAAGGAAAAAATTGAAACAAACACAAACGTAAAATAAGAGAAGAAAAAACTAAGATGAAAAGGTAAAAAATTAAAAAGAATATAAAAATAAAAATAGAAAATAGAAATGAAAAGGGAAGAAGTTAAAATAAAGAGAAACCAGAAGAGAAAATAAAGAAGAGAAGAAAACTGGTTCAGGAAAGGTTGTAGAATCTACCAAAAACTGGTGGATACAGGCTCACCGGGAGGATATGTGTTGCGTATCCATGAAGAACTAAAGAATAAGAAATGCACGGCAGTTAAGTGCGAAACGGAAAAAAAATGCAGGCCTCGGTGGGCCGGCCCAGCGCTTCTGTAATAGTATAAAAAAGCCGACGCCTTGTATCGAACGCGAGCACCGCTGTGTCGTGGTGGTTAGCACGTGGCGCCTGAGGGCCGCAGGTCGCAGGATCGATTCGCGCCGTCGCCAGATTTTTCTTTTCGTTTCTTTATTTCTTCAAGTGACGGAAAATTTCAAACCAGTCCAGATTCGTTGATGGAAATTACGAAAAAAAAGAAAGCCTCTCTCATGGAGCCTTTTTCCCGCAAAAAATTTGGGTATTTTTGTGATTACATACAACGTAAGGGGGTTTTCTGCAAAAAACATGCCACGTTGGCACCTGACGGGCGGGCCCCGCTGGTCAGATACACCGTCAATACGTGTTTATACGCAGTTTAGATCTATTTGCAAAAATCTTAAGCAATGTTGGTACTGACACGAAAAAATTAGCAATCGTGGTACCAATCTGCATATGATGCCCGAATTGTGATACTTCTGTGCAATTAACTCTTCTTTTCTTGGATGGACCTTGCATGCGGTGCTGGTCTGGTGCTTTATCTGAGTTTGCCCTACGTGTTTATCTTTTGTTGGACTGCCGCTGATGCATGCATGGGTGTATGGGCGGTTGGTGTCGACACGCTGTCCGGCCGGTTTGTTGGTTGATTCTGGATTGCCGGTTGCCTTCTTCTTAGATGTGCATCCTTCACGTATAAATAAGGGGGTCCGCAGGATGCAGCGAGCAACGGCAGCACAAGAGGGCAGTGGCGGCAGGATGCCCTCGCCTCATGTCTCTCCTTCCCTCCGTCTTTCTCCTTGATGATTCTTTTTTCCTGATCACTCCATTTCGTGCTGAGTTTATGATCCGTCGCAGGTGCAGAGATCTGGCAACACGACGGCGCCGCAGCGATGTCGCATAAGGGGAAGCAATATATCACACGCCGTCAGCCGTTGGAGGGATGGCTGCAGCCTGCATGGGCTTCCCTACCCCTCCCACCACCGCAACCTGCCGGTTCTTCACTTGCCCCATCACGTGCCGGTTCTTCACTTGCCCCATCGCCTGCTGGCCGATTGTGATCGCCAACCAGATCACTGCGGCATGCAAAGTGGAGACGGTGTACGGGAGGCATGTGCTAACTGCGGAGGCCACGGTCGAGGAGAGGAAGCTATGACAGAACTCAGGCCACGGCGACGCGGCGTCGCCGTCATCTGTGTCATCAACGTCGTCGCGAGTGCATGCGATGATAATGTTTCCGAGCTCGAGCTCGCAGCTTGCCGCCGGCTCGATCTCACGCCTGCCTAGGCCATCGGCTGCGGCACCCTGCCATTCTATGCCGCACAGGCGTGCCTCGTGCTCGACCTGCCAGGCTGCCAGTCGCCCCGTGTTGCCTGCACCTTGACCCGCGCCCACCCGGACCGCCGGTGCCCCGTCGCCCCGTGCTATCGAAACGAACGCGATATGGCGCCTCGGCTAGGCTACTGTCGAAGCGGACGCGATATGGCGCCCCCAGCTTCCCGTGTGCCCACCTCCGCGCAGCTGCAAGAAACTGAGCATACAACGACTGTCCAGCTCGCTCTTGGCCATGCACCCTGGCGTGGCGCCCCGTGAGCTGCCTCACGCTCGCGGATTGTATGTTGTAGACGCAAAAGAGGCGTCGTGTCTTTATGATCTCACGCCCGGCATCAGGGCCTTAGGGGACGACGAAACCGTAGCATGGATTTCGCCTACGCGAAGCGTCATGAGAGTGTGTCATGGCGCCTGGCAAGGTCGCCCAGAGCGTGGTGCAGCAGGGCGCTTGCGAGGTCGCCACGAGCATGGTATCATCCGCTGTCTCCTCTCAGGAATTTGACCATCTCTTTTTTTGATCTCATCTCGCTTCAAAAGATGACCTTGAAGGCTTAAGTGAGCTTTTCCGTTTCTCCTTTCCTTTTTCACTATAATATTCATTCAAGGTGAGTTGATCAGTGTATATTATCTTCTTTTAAATTGTGACAACAACTTAGCGCACCATTAACAAAAATTATATGTCAAGGCTATTGACGGCACGCATACAAAAAACTGAGGGAAAATCAGCTACATTAAACTCCAAAAATGAACTCTTGAAAATTCTGGCAATACCTACCATGTTATACGCATGCAAGCAGAAAAAAATGGCTAGACCAGCCAGTAAGAGAACAAAATGGTCACCAATTCCTATGCAACTAGACACATGATCTACTACTCCCATGCATGTGGTCACATCAAGCCCAAAACCCATGCACGTGACGTGGTCATATCAACGCTAAAATTCATCCAGTGCATGCAGCAAGTAATCCCATATGGCCAGAAAGAGATAGAGATAGAGATATAAATCGTAGGTGCATGAAACAACCGTACCACACAGCGTCCCTAAGATTACAGATGATGGTTCTACAATTTTCTCAAAAAAAAATAGACCACACAAGACAAAAGAAAACATAAGAAGAGTATTACTAGCATGAAGCATCTTTTTTAATGCTAGCTGCTTACATTTTCAGCAAGAAAAATTTAACCCCTTAAAAAAGCAAGATAAATTTAATTGAGGCTC